CGTCTTATCATGCGCTGTGGACGATTAGACTCTGCCGACACACGACGCACACAGCAACAGAACAACATGTAGCGTTTTTACAAGAGCAGCTAACACTGAGAGTTTCAGTTTGCACGCTGTTAGCAAGTCAAAGAGACAAACCAAAGCTAAAAGTTAACTGACCCTGCATTCACTACATGGTTATTTTCTTCAGTCAAGTTTCCCTCAGCACTCTCATAAAAACTAAAATACGACCGGACGTCAGAGTGACTGAAAAATCTCCGCACTGTTGTCTTCCGGGAGACGCTGGACAGTGTTTGCCGTGAGATTATAACAGCGCGGTTAACCATACCCGGTACTCGGTAATAATAACTGTCGGGAATTTTACCATGGTTTACCGTTAAACCGGTAATTGTTTCATCCCTATGTCGCACACATAAACATCATAGCTACTGGCTCTGTCCAAAGTAAAAAAACATTAGCATTTAATTATATTTACTAGTGGTACACTTCAGACAGTCAGTGTATTAAAAGGCATATATTTCCTACTAGAGCTGAAAGGATTGGTCCATTAATTGATTAGCAGATCGACAAAAAATGAATCAGCAGCACTGGTTCCAGCTTCTCAAAATGTCAATATTTGCTATTTTTCTTTTCCTCTATGATTACAGTATACAATTAATATCTTTGGGTTTTGGAAGCAAAAGCAAAGTGAGCTATTTAAATATGTCACCTTGTGATTTAGGAAATTGTGGTGGACATTTTATAAACCAAACGATTTGTTGATTAATTGAGAAAGCCATAGACAGATTAATTGACAAAGAGAAGTTTTAATTTCTACCTGGTTCATCTGATGTGCTTGTAGACATTCTTGAATTAAAGATAAAAAAAAAAATGTGTCAGTGAGTGTCCCACTACTGCACAAAGACTTGCTGTGCCACGCTGCCCCTGAGCAAGGCACCAAAACCAGCAGCTGCTGTGTGGCTCCTACAGCTGCCTCACTGTGGCTGCCGGGAGAGAGCAGTGAATGAAACATTGTTTTCAGGCAGTGAATGGTGAATGTGCTGCTTCTCTCACACCACTTCATCTGAAGTGGTGGCAGCTTGTGGACTGGGTCCGTAGTGAGTGCTCTGTGACTGCGTTTTTCGATCAAATGCCGGTGTCAGATCTCCAGAACAAGCCTTAGAAAATTGTCTTCAGTACCCTATGTGGTTATTTGTTTTGATGTTAAGGCTGGGAGGGATAATTTGCCTTGTGGAACACCAAATTCTTTCTGTGTCACATTTTCTTTTACTATCATACCATGAGTCAAGTGGTAGAGATCTGTGTGAGTGTGTGAGTCACCGGAGATCTTGTCTGCTGCTGTGGTGAAGTTTTAGAGACTGAGGGTGAGTGTGTGTGTGTTAATGGGTCACGACATACACCATGTTACATCTAGTTTATTTATCCATCCTCTCTTTCTCTCCTCGTTTTTTTTCTCTACTTTTTAAACCCTCCCCACCACCCAATACCCTCTAACCCCCTCTTTGCCTTTCCTCACACAAGGCCCTTATCTAGTTGGGCTGCTTTCTATTTCCATCCACACATCACATGCAAAACAGCTGTGAAGAACAGCCTGTATATTTAGCTGTATTGTGAGTGCGCCGGGGGGCTGTGGCTAGCTTAGCCCATTAATGCCGCACAATGGGGACTTTGACAAGAGACAGCAAGAGGAAGGAAAGATCCTCCATGGCGGGACAAAAATAGACAGCTCAGTGTGTTGCATTGTGGGCTAGGCAAGTGTGACTGAGCTACGATAGACAGAGAGGCTACCGTGTGTGTTTCGAGTGTTTACATAAAGGCTTTAACTGAAGCTTCATTGTTTTATCGACTTTGAATGTGTGTCAATGTTTATTGTAGATTAATTCCGTCGGTTAAATCTCCAACTGATGCTTCCTGTTGCGAGTAGAGCTGCAACTAACAAATGCTTTCATTGTTGATTTATCTGTCCATTATATTCTGGATCAGTCGATAATCTATATCTATAAATGTTAGAAAACTGACTAAAAAGTGACTATAGCAATTTTCAAAAGTTCAAGGTCTTGAAATTGCTTTTTTGTCTGAACAGTCCAAAACACCAAAGATGTACAGATCACTATAAATCCTCAAAACTGAGACCCTAGATTATGTTCTGTGATGTATCTTGCTGGAACAGTTCATTGATTATCAAAATAGTAGCTGATTTATCTTCCATTTACCAAATAATTGATTAATCAACTGGTAGTTTCATCTTAAGAATGGAGAGATTAATGCATGCAGAGCTGTGGTTCAAATCTTTTGTGTGTTGTGACCCCTTATTAACAATTTCAGTTTAGTCCTGCACTTTTATAAAGTTGGGGGACTTGCAAGTGACTTATTTTAAAAAAGAATGCTCTAAATTGAAGCAGCAGAGACCTCACTTTTACTCTTTAGTATGTATTTAATATATTTAGTATAATATTTAGTATCCAGAAACATTGGATCCCACATAGTAATTCAGCTCAATTGCGTCTTTCATCAGAGTCAGAAGGAGCTTTATTGCCAAGTAGTGTTTTACACATATGAGGAATTTGCTTTGGTGATAAGGTGCTACACGTAGACAAACATACAGTTGACATAAATAAATGGAGAAATATATAAATATGGAATAAACAATGCTATGCAAAGTTATATAAGAATAATAAAAAGAATAGAAAAAAAAATACAACTATTTGCAGAGAAATAACAACGTCGCAGATATTTACATGTGCATTATTCCAGGTTTGTGTTGTGCAGACGTATTGCAACAGAAGAGAATATTGTGTACATAAATATATAAATTGACAGTATAAAAATGTAGAACAACAATGATTAACAATTAACAACAAATATGTGCAATGTGCCAGGTTTGTGCCTGATACAAAATAAAATGAAATAATATTTATATGTGCAGAGACATTTGTATTATTTGAAAGGGGGGAGTGTCAGTGGGGGACCTGGGGCTTGTTAATGAGGCTAGCTGCAGATGGGAAGAAGCTGTTTTTGTGGCGAGAGGTTTTGGTTCTGATTGACCGCAGCCACTTGCCAGAGGGGAGAGTCTGAAACAGTTTGTGTCCAGGGTGGGAGGGGTCAGCTACAATCTTTCCTGCTCGCTTTAGAGTCCTGGGGGCGTACAGGTCCTGAAGTGATTAGACCTTTCCATTTCAAACCTGGCGTCCCCAGTTTGCAATGCAGGGTTGCTGTTTTGTAGTCTCTAAGCCCAAGCTGAAGTGACTTTGGAAAGCTCCTCCAGAGCCACACAAGATATCATGCAACAACAAGTAGCCTGACCGTCATGTGTAAAATCAGACCTCTTTAGGTTGTTTCATTATCAGTTGCCTTGAGGCTTTAAAAGTATTTTGCATGAAAAAGTAGAACTTAAAAAATCTGTCTAAAAGTTATACTACATACATTTTTTTTTACAATACCCCAATATTACTAGTATAGGTGATATGTGTATGAAATGCATGTTATTAGGGGTTAATATGCAAAACAATAATGTTAGAAAAATGTCCAGTTAACACATGTAGCCTATGAAGATTCTCAGTCATCCAGGTCATAGTTATCCAACGAAGGTTAAAATCAAGGGCAACTGGACTTGGTTGAAGCTACTGGAAGACGTTTCATCCCTCATCCAAAGGACTTCTTCAGTTCTGACTGACTGGCAGGGAAACTCAGCTATTTAACCTCAGTGGGGTCGTTGACCAGGGTCATCGATACTGCTGGTTCGTTAGTGTTCCTGGTTGCTGTGACGACAGTCGTTACAGTCGTTAAGACTACCGGTGGCCAAGACTGAACGACCATTGTTGGTATCTTCACCTGAAGCCAATAGGTTACGTTTGTTGAGTTTCCTGGGAAGTGATGAAAGGACAGCATTGTAAATGGGGGATAAGTGGTGGCGTAGACCCCCTCCCCTGTTCAATGACGGCTTCTCAACCCTGGTGTAGATGCTTCCTTGACACCTCTTTCAAAGCATCCATCTTCTCTGTCTAAAATGTGCACCTGGTGGTCCTCAATGAGTGTCCTCTGTCCTTCAGATGTAAGTAGACTGCAGAGTCTTGACCTGAGGAGTTGGCCCTTGTTGAGCCATGCGTTTGTGTAGTGGTTGTTTTAACACATGTAACATGTACAAAAACATTTATTTAGTTTTGATGGATTTTAATTGTTCTCAGCTATATGCATGCATCCTGATCCATGTGGGGCCAGAGTATCTGATGATACTGAATCCTATATTTAAATCACAATTCTCCTTTATCTATGCTGTTCTACATTGTGTAGATTTAGCTTAATGTAAGCCTACATTAAAAAGTAAATCTACTGTTGGAAGAGCTCCGCAGACAGTAAATGTGGCCTGCATCACAGCCTTATTTTAATGGTATCCCTTGGTTTTTGTTTGTTGCCCTGTAGCATTTTGAATTATATCAGTGGAGAGTGAAGTTAGGAACAGCTTTAGATGAGAGTGTAAAATGCTGGAACGCCGGAATATATAAAGTGTTTATTAACCCAAAGCGGCTATGCTTGCTGACAGTCACTGGTGCATGCTGTCAGTGTGTAGATATAATTAATTAAAACTCCTGGCTGACACTTATTTGCTCCGTGGTTCACCTGCTCACAATGCTGTGCATTATGAAGCCATTCCAGGGTTTTAACAGAGTGCATTTGGGTATTTTGACAGCTGGTGTTCCCATGGAACAACAGACAAAGTCAATCAGCATTGACACTGATTTTGTCTCTAGTGTTCTAGAGTTTTTTTCCCTTTCTTATTGGTCACAACCAATGTTTCGGTGCAGCCGTAAGTTGATATTAACAACAACCTTAATGTCAAATATGAAGATAAAAGAGGATGGAAATGAATTCTAATGTTACTGGAACTTGCCATCCTCAAGTTAATCTAATGATAACTCCAAATGTATCCATTGAAAGTGCCAGAAAGACATCCAGGGGTTTGTTTTGGCATGCATAATCCGCCCTTGTCTCCAATCCAGGAACGAAGACAGGATGGAGAGGAGTGAACGACAGACCTGCACCAAGATGGACAGTATTGAAGCTGCTGAAGAACAGTATGTCCATCCATCCTCCCTCCAGTCTTGAATTCTGCATCAGTGTGATTATGTGTATTTGTGTCACTCTCACACACTTGCATGTCTTCCTTTATTTTTTATGTCCGAATGTAGACACCCCACTCTAGAGGAGTTGCTGTCGTGGTCACGGAGCTTTGAGATTATGCTGCGCTCGTTGAAGGGCCGGGAAGTCTTCCAGGAATTCCTGCGCTCAGAGTACAGCGAGGACAACCTGCTTTTCTGGTTGGCCTGCGAAGAGCTGAAAAAGGAGATGGACCCCACGGTGGTGGAGGAGAAGGCCAGGATCATATACGAAGACTACGTGTCCATATTGTCACCCAAAGAGGTACCGGCTGTATATGTGTTAATTCAACATAAGTGAGCCGCCATAGAAGTAGAGAAAGACATGACCATATCACATGAAATCAAGACTTTACACTTTCTAGATACTCAATGACAGCAGCCAGCTTTTAGCCATGTTAGAACCGCGGCTCTAGGGGCCGCAGTGTCGGCCTGTCGTTCCGTCAGTCCACCATTTTGGTCCAGACTGAAATATCTCAGCAACTATTGGATGGATTGCTGTGAAATGTGGTACAGACATTCATAGTCCTCATATAATGAATCCTAATGACTTTCTTGTAGTGTGACCACGAGGTTGACATTTGTGGTTTTGAGTGAGACATTCATGTCCGCTGTACTTAAGTACAGCCTCACAAGGCCACAAGCCTGGCTGTAGAATCTTAGTCTTGCTAAGAACCCAAATAGTTATTTGACAGGTTGTTTACCAGCTTAGTCAAATTTAAATGTTAATGTTTAGCACATCTTCCAGTAGAAGCTGTGTAATCCCTTAATAAAGCCACTACTCTACAAACCACATAAAAAGTCACTGTTTCTAAATCAAATTTATTATATATATATATATACTCTTATATATATCCTTGCCTCAGGTGAGTCTGGACTCACGGGTCAGAGAAGGAATAAACCAGACCCTGGCGGAGCCCAGCAATCTGATGTATGAGGAGGCCCAGTTCCAGATCTATACCCTGATGCACCGCGACTCCTACCCCCGTTTCCTCAACTCCTCCGTTTACAGAGACCTCCTGGCCAACAGGAGGCGCACCTGCCTCGACACCTAGACTCCTCCACCCTCCCTCATCGCCATCGTACGCCAACGAGACTACTACTTAAACTTCAAATACTACTATGGTGCCAGAAGTCGGGTTTGGAAAATCTCTCCCTCTTTTTTGATTGAAAAGACTGTATGACATCCAAGATAGCTGGTTGTTTTTTATTTATATTTTTTAAGCAATTTATATCCAGTTCTCCACTGGAGCCAGGTCGGCCTTTGCTGGTTGGTTATTGGTCAATTTCGGACCATTAATACTGGCCAGTGATTGTTTTGCTAGCATTTTGTGCTGTTTGTTACAGTTGACTGGCCAAACCGCCTGTCAGCTATCTGTTGAAGTGGCCAACCTGATGGCTGGCTGTTGGTTAACTGTGGACAAGGACTCCCCAGGCGGAGGGGACAGAAACAGAGAGAGAGAGAGAGACAGACAGAAAGGACAAGCCAACTGTTCCTGTACTGTAATATTTAAACCTCATGCTTTCTACCCTCACTTTAATATTCTCCAACTCACTCTCTTTCATATTTTTTGGTTTTTCTAATTCTGTCCCATTCCTCAGATGTTTTGTTTTTCATTTCTTTATTGTCCAAACTTGACACCTAGTTGTTGGTGGGGGTTGGGCCGTCTCTGCCCATTTAACCAGTAGAAGCACTGGCTCTGCATATAACTCTCTCTCTCTCAACAGTAGCTTGACAATGTAAGCCGCGGACTGCAACTATTTTTTGAATATTGAGATGTATGAAGACAAGGGACATGTCTCTCTGTCTGGCTGTCTATGTTCAGTGAAGGGAAAAGGTACACTTCTGCCAATTTAAAGCTTACTGCAGTTTTTTATTGAGGAGATTTGATGGCTTCTGCAGCAGCAGCACATACCCATCCATCCATCCATCCACCTGTCCTTCCATCCGTCCGTCCAAGCACTTTCCTTTAGGATTCTTTAACTGGGAGAAGTAAGGGCTATAATTGTGGTTGGGCAGCTACATGTATTACTATTACTCATGAACTTTAAACAATCTCTCTCACTGAGAAAATCACAATGCCTTTACATGTAAGGAAACGCAGCAAAAGTGCTGTTGGATTTTTTCTGGAAAACAACCACAGTTTGTCCAACGATCCCTACCTCCCATCTTTTCCCCCTCACCCATCCTCTTCCCTCCAACCCAGACCATCACAGCCTGACAAGCACAGGTGCCCAATGTGGGAGGGTGGTGTTGGTGGTGGTGGGATGGGGGGGCACCACTGGAGAAAATCAAAACAAACCCACATTGACTCCAGTCATCTGAATTTTGAAATTCTTGAGCAGAAAAAGAGGGGTTACCTTCTAGTGTTAAACAATGAATTGAGCGTTATGGAAAGCTGGTTCTGCTTGGAGAACTTAAGCAGATGCAGCAGGCACTGATGTAATTGGAAAGGTTACTGAGCCCTGGCCTTTGTCCGTAAGGCTTTAACTTTAGATGCTGTAGTACATGACAGTCTCTGGAGATGAACGTCCAATATCACGCTGCAGATACGTGACCCGGGTGCCAAAACATTATGTCAAAGATGCTGTGAAGCGATATTAGATGTGGCTTGTCACCAGACTTCCCCGGTCAATCCGGTAAATGTCTGTTGCTCCAGCAGATGAAGCTGGGAGAGTGTATGGCAGTCCTTCAGTTGGCTACTACCTATTCACAACACTTTTTTTTTTTTACTAGAGCTAGTGAAGAGGGTTGGTATAATAATGCTAACATGCTACTGTACTGGGCTAGCGAAGAAGTTGCGTAGTATGCCACATGCTAGCCCTTTCAACAAGGCTAACTAGGTTTCAGCATGCTGTAGGCAAGCAGTTAGCATGCTTGTGCTAGCTATGCTAATTCTCCACAGCACTGCCAGCCCTCAAACACTCTGGTTTGTTTTTCTAATCTGACTTTGACAGCATGTGATAATGTGTGTATGATACAGTTACACACTTAACAGACATTTTTTTGACAAAAAAAAAACCTTTAAGGGGGGTCTTGCCAAATGTCCCACTAATATTTTTAGTATATTAAAGGACATTTTGTTTTTAGGTGATGTTAGCATTTGAACATGAACTTTGTTCCTGGCCTGTGGATGTGCAGTAGAAAGTGCATGAGTGCAGTATATGCTATTTTTTTTAATTAACTGGGCCTCCAAGTATATTGAATATGATGGATATGATGGAGCAGACCTCTTGGTTTGGCGGTTAGTGCTGTCTTAAAGTATAATGAAACAGTGCCGCTCCTCACTGATAAATGTAGGCATCCATGTTGCCATCTCCTTCAACTACCTGAAGTTCACGTGCCAAGTTTGGTCTAGATTAAATTTAAGAGTAGACAGTGCAGGATGTCTAGCAGACTATTGAAGTGCAATTGGATGTAGTTAGTGATTATAGACTGGAGTCTGTTTAAAGCAGTGTGCCACTATGTTAGATTGGTTTTGAATTGTCAGAAGGTTATCTTATACTCTTATAAATGACTTACCACAACACCTTGTTTTAATGCCACTGTTGGATTGCTCAAGAAACTGGCTGCCTCTGGTTGGCAAGTTTTATTAGAGGAACTAAATAAGGAAACATGGGATTTTGAGTTTTCCTCTAGACTCATTTTCACTTTCAATGTTAAAAATGCTAACTGGATGAAACTTCCAGTTCAAAACCAATCATATTACTACAAAAGCTTTCAGTCGTGCAGTATGGGTTATAAATTTGTAGGATTCACACTGTAAAGTCAAGAAGGCAAGTCTACACCAATAATCACCAAACAGTTTTACAATGTTTCTTATTGAAAATATACTATGTTTAACTGTTGGCAATGCAGGACTCACATGCAGACTACATTCGTACCCACAAAGACTTGATTGATATTGCTTTGCTGCTTTAATGAAGAGCTGTGCATGCATGCGCTCATTTGATCAGAAGCAGAGGAATACGGAGTAATTAACCAATTCTCAATTTTCACACTTACTTCTTGGAGCAGTTTTCATTTCCAGGAAACATAAGCATTTTAGACGATACATTTGGATGACTCTGTAACTTTTTGACTCAGTAGAAGAATCATAAAGCTCTCTTGCAGACAAATCCCTCTTCTGCATAGTACAGCCATGTTTCCTTGTCGCTGAGTCTATACAGTAATTAACACGAGAATGTTTCACCAAGAACCAGATAATGAAATCATGGTGCAATTAAACCAAGTTTACATTTATAAATTGTGAGATGTGTGTACCTTATTAAATAATCGTAACAGTGGGCAGTATACTGTCCCAAGTGTCAGCAGAGAAGCCAGCAGTTTACGGCTGGCGTGAGACTCTGCCTTGTGCTAACTCTGTTAGCACTTTACAGGGTTTACAGGGAGGACAGACACAGCAGAAACCCAGGTAACAGTGTTTTACAGGGAGGACAGACACAGCAGAAAGCCAGGTTTTCTGCTTACGTTCTTTCCTCTTAATTTATTGTGACTTTTACACAGTGCGGAAAAGTACACGGTTGTCTATTTTTAATAACTGCATTTCAGATGTGGATTTTACAAGCAATGATGATGATGTGAAGTGATGTAGTGTCATCGCTGAGTTTAGGTTTTTGTCTTTTAAATTTCCATGGGTACCAAGTGAGTGGGCTTTTGAAATGTGGCTGTGGTTTTATTGACTGAAAAAAAAAAGGTTGAGAGCTGAAGTGTCCGGATAGGGTGGAGGAGGTTTGCAAAGCTTTGGCCTTACTGACACATTTTATTTTATTCCTTTGTATAAAAAAAAACAACAACAAACGTCTCTGTAGGCTTTTCACTACCTCTCATGTTGGTTAATTTATTTCACATCTAGTTGTCAATGTACAAGTTGTTTTTAGATCTACTTGAAGCCTAACACTGTAAACAAAATGTGCACAGAAAAATGACTATGTATATAGCCAGAGGGGTTAAAGAGAGCTTGGCCTAGTCAACATTATTTTTTTGTTTGTATGTATGTTTGTTTTAAATTCTGTTGAGCTGAACTAGATTTTGCATCTCTGTAAAGAATTCAGGAATCCACTGTCTAAGGGCTAATCCCATTTTTGCCTATGCAAATCTGTTACTGTGGGTGAGTTGGGAAAGGGCAAACTACCGCGCCTTTCACCTGTTTCAGAAGGACCATGGTTTACATTGCCCTTTGCTGATATTCTTCAATCTTATTCAGCAAAAATGTACGCTTATTTTTGTTTATATATAAATATATATATATATACACATATATATATAACAAGTAATATACAGAGAAAATAGTATATGCCTTCGTGATGATAAAAAAGAAACCTTGCTGAAAACAAATAAATGTGTTGTTGTCTGACATCATGTGGCTGTGTGCTGGAGTCTTGGTAAGATGATATAGACGACTGTTGAAGTTGACTGACTGAAGAAAACTCAGGCTACAACGCTAGTAGCTGACCCTGTACAGTATTTGCTGAGGGGAAAACTTTATTCATCATGACTTTCTGTGACAAACATTGTCATCCAGCCCCAGCCTGGGAGGTAACTTAGGTATTCTCGCCACCCAGAACTTGTAAGTTTTAAAGCTAGACTATGTAACTTTTGTTAAACAAAGGCTGTATCCTCATTCAAAAGTTACATAGTCTCACTTTGAAGGTCTGAGTCAGAGAAAACCTTGAAACAAGTTGAGTCATTTATGTTATCTGCCTTTGTCATGTGCACTGTCTATATGTAAGTCACATTTTATAACCAGTAATTAATTAATAAAATTTAAGACATTCCACTTGCCATGAAATAATTAACATGTTATTGTGATCATATTTTTGTTGTTTGTCAGTGACACTGCACAGCTGTTATGAATTTGTAGTTAAATGAGTGCAGCACCATGTCATGAGCAAACAACAGCAACTTTTTTCTATTCTTCAACTTGTTTGCTTTCGTAGCCACATCCAGTCAGACTATCACTGTGTTAATACAGTAGCGTTGATGTGGAAGACATCAGCAGAAGAGGGTTGTCTGTTTTAAGAAGAGTCAGTTATATACAAGCCCGTTCACTCAGCTCACATGAGCCACTTTTAGCTTTGAGTTGAGGTTTGATTTAGATCTAATTTTATTTTTTTAACTCTTTATTCTTTCAGAAAATTTAGCTCCTGAACAGAAATAGAAATGAGAATAAGAAGATTAATGTTGTATAGATTTATTCCACAATTCCTCACAGTGCATCATGGCTAAAGAAAAGACAGTTTTATCGACTGATGCTGGTTTGAAACCTGCTTTGTGTGTTCCCTCAGTTGGATTTGGTGCCTCTTTATGCTTTGCAACAGACCTCAAGATCTCTTTTTCTCTCTCTCTCTCTCTCTCGGGCTCTCACTTCCTCTTTCTGTAAAATCACACATCCAAAACTGTTGATAGCAGTTAGATGTTTGCTCACACCCTCATATTGTGTCTTTTGTACCTCTTTCAGAGGTGTTTGTGCTACTTTGGGAAAGAGATCATGTTTGTGCAGGTACTGGTGGAAGTAGGCTTTCAACAGCTTTAGGCAATCACTTTTCTCTTTATTGATTTAGATGCCTAAGCCGCTTCGGTTTTTGTCATGCCTTTGTAGATAGATCACAGTCGAGATGACCCACAGGTGAAAATAAAAAGAATTTTACTGTCACTTTAGGTGATTAAAAAAGTGATTTTTTTTCTATTCAGCATGCTTTTTGCTAAATAAATGAAATAATTCAGTTATTTGCTATAAACGATACTGTATGAGTATGTATTCAAGTACTGCAGTATGCAGACAATTAAAAATATCAGATACTCTTTTGTGAGGTTCATATTTTTCTTCTAGTATGTTTCACTAATATTGATGGTTATGGGGTCTTAATTCTTGTTTTGAGTGTCTTATTAATTGCCAAAACAACTAAATGACACTCTTTGTATTAACAAATATAGACTATGGTCGGTTATTTCCACATGCATGAGTTGCAGAAAAATTTACCAGGAAAGTGCAAGTGCAACAGGCTTTTTAATCAGTCCAGCTCAACTTTTCACAATTTTTCACTGGTTGCTTGACAACTTCTGATGATGACTGAGATCCTGACTATTTTATTTACATCAAGGCAGGTGATCCATGTAGTCACTAATGCAGTGAGGAGTGAAATGTATTTCTCTTGCAGAGCCTTATCATGCCACACAAAGCAAATGTGACCTCTAGTTTTCATATTTATAATGCAGAGATGAGAAGATGACAGTTGAGCTTTAAACTGCCAGTGAGAGTGAGCTCATGAGCTCAGTAGATTGCGCAACTTTCTCAAACATCTCAGAGTGCTGTGTCCCTAACCTTCAGGGTCTTGCTGCTCAAGGATCTGATTGCTTTTAATCATGACTTTGAATTTTATCAAAGGAAACTGATCATCAATCCTTGATCGCTGTCCCTGAGATGCAGGACTCTCTCCACTGTAGCACTGCAAGACTTTTCTAGACTTATTAGTCCAACCTTGACAAAACGCCATCCTCTGTTGTAGAAAAGCAAAGGAGGGACTAGTCTCATCTAGCTTTGTCTTACAGGGATGTAAATCTGTACTTCAAGACAGAGCTGTTACAAGTTCAACAGCACTGATTATTAGGGCATTTGTACATTGTGAGAAATTATTATTTAATTATGTTGGTAATGGCAGTTCTCTGCATGATAGTAAAATACAGATTCACTAAGAACAGTAGAATCAAGGAGAAAGAAATATTTACACCCAAGTCTAGTTTAGACAATGTGGATTCTCAACTTGGTTAACAAATGTACAGTAGCTGTGTAAAACTGTAGTTAAAATGTGATTGGGGAGGAGAGTTGTTAAAGAAACAATTAATCATTTTTGGGAAATACACTTATTCACTCTCTTGCTGAGTGTAAAGTGAGGAGACTGACACCTCCAACCTGTGCGCTAACCAGGAAGATACAAGCATCAGCTGGTTAGCTTAGCTCAACTAGGACTAACTAGCTAAGACTAATGAGATGAAACTGCTAGCCTGACTCTGTCCACTTCTAAAACTCACATATTTTACCTCGTATGTTTAATGCGTACAAAAACACCAGTATTGTTTTATGGGTGGTAACATAATGTGCAGGGTGCGATTTGCGGGGGGGGGGGGGGGGGTGGATGCGTGGTATTTCCCCCCTTATGGTTTGTATATCCCCCCATCTGAGTGATCTGCTTCAATAGTGATGCAACTTGTCACAAAACGCACAGCTCGGATCGATCCGTAGTTTTGTTAGGGTTAAATTAATTAGAAAATGCGCTACTTTGGCTCTGATCCAGCTGCCTCTCTCTGTCTATGAGTCATCACCAGGCTGGAGACTTGTTTAATGTCCCGCCCACGGCAGTGTGTGATTGGATACAAGTCGCGAATAATAGCCTATCAATAGCCGAAGGGAAGACAGCCGATATTAGTGAAGCTGCAATAAATTCACAATCTGACGATCCGTTTCTACGATGACAAGAAGCCCAGTGTCAATGTTACACCTTTGAGCATGCCCGAAAACACAGCTAAGGGGTTTCAGTTAATGAAAGTGACGGCTTTTAAATCAGTCTCTCTCTCCTTACCCACTCACTTCACCTGAGAGGTAGCATGCATCTGTTTTCCCTGCAGCTCTTCATGGCGACGTGACGCTCCGTATTACTTGAATAATAAACGGGGGGAGCAGTTCGGGGCGGTGGGAGGGGGTTTTACACAAATCGCACCCTGGTAATGTGTCAGTCTGTTTCACGACAGCTCAATAAATACTTCTGCTAAGCTAAGCTACCTGGCTGCTGGATACAAACACGAGAGTGGTATCAAGCTTCTCATCTTACTCTTGGCCAGCAAATAAGCTAATTTCCCAAATGTCAAACTGTTCCTTTAAAAAAAAAAAGAAAGAAAAAGACAACAATAGTGGAGCTATGTAGAAGTTTTAAAATAGAAGGAACAGCAAGGTTAAATTTGCCTGACAAGGTTTTCTATAAAACTGTCCCAGTAAGTACAACAGTGCGTCTGGTGGATTGTATGTGCCAAAATTATAATCTACCCTTTGTTTAAATGTGAAGGGGTCAAAGGAATTGTTGGAAAATCACATGGTCTGTTGGACTCAAAATGTTCCTTACAAAAATACATTTTCATGTTGCTGTCGTTGGGTTTGTGTATCTCTCTGGATCATCCATTACTTAATCAACAGACCTGAAGACTTTGTAAACAGGCACTGAACACTTACAAGCAACCATATCAGATCCAGTGGAAATTGTAACTGTCACAAAAAAAAGCTGTTCACTATTTTTTATTTGTTTTGTACTGATTTAATTTATTTTAACAGGAGGTTTATTTTAGTCTTTTTTCTTTTTATCTCAAAAGACACAAATTGTTTTTCACTAGTTACCATCGTGTTCAATTGTGGTACATTCTGATCTACGGTTCAGTCTTTGTCTCTGTCTTTGTTTACACGATGACATCTTGCATTAAGAGAAAACTTCAAACTATGGTAACTGCCCTTGATTATCTGTAATTTAAATAGTGCTGCTAGAGAAATAAATCTACATGTAACAACTTACAATAAATACTTAATAGATTTTTGCCAAATGTGACTGTGTCTTTCTTTGACTGGAGGTGTGAGATAACCAGCAGATACAGATTCTGTATGCAATTTTAGTTAACATTGTAATGGTGCATTTTTTTGATTTAATTTTCCCCCATAAAACACTTGCAACTCTACAAATAAAAAGGTTTACTCAGCACTTTTATTGCCCATAAATAGTTTTACCCTATAAAAACCTAGCAGGGAAGGAAATGTTTCAGCAGCCATTGTGTGGATTGCTGGTTAATTTTGCACTGACATTCATGTTCCCCAGAGGATTAATCCTAATGACTTTGGTGATCCAAATACTAGCCAAAGACATTTAAAAACATAAAGACATTTTCATCATCTTCAACTGTACTTTAATATCAGTGCTAATAACATGTTAAAGTAAGATGTACAATACACCTACTAAACATCATAGACAGAGCTCAGAATGCTAACTGGAGGCCAAAAGGTCTCAAGGATCCATGCTGGCCTCAAACACAAATGGATCAGGAACAGCTTTCATTGTAGGACATTGCCAGAAACTGCATTGGAGGGACTGAAATGACACAGCATGATTTAAAGTGAATTGTTCAAACATAGAAATGGGGATGTTTGGTAAAGCAAATCTTCTTCTATGGTGCCTTGAGGAATCCTAAATTGTCCAGAAATCAAAGTAACAATAAGGCATCATCCTGACATTAAGAATGAACGTCCCATCACAACACACACGCACACGCTTAAACAAAACCTCTTAACCATCGGTGACATAATGAGAGGTAGAAAGAGGCAGCATAATTTAAAAATGTCTTTATTTCATCACCCGGATCCAAGATCATGTTTTCAGACTTGTTTACATTCAGACAACAGGGTGAGACCACATGCTGAGGACAGGAGAGGAGGCAGGTTGGTGTGCATGGGTGCTCTCTCATTACAATCCTCTGCATGTGTGTGTATATGTGTAACTTTTCATACAGTCCTCTCTGTATATGGGCATGTGTATGGGCACTCTCATATATATGTGTGTGTGTGTGTGTGTGTACGTGTGTGTACGTGTTCGTTCTCTCTGTGTGTCTCTCTCTCTCAGACAGTCTTTTGATCCGTCGCTTCCGGAGCTGTTGAGGCAGATGCTGAGTCCTCCTGGGTATTGTCTAGTCCCTGGCTGCAGCCTCGGTCACCTGACTGTCCACCGTCTTTCACCGTGATGGCAGCGTTGGAAGAGGTCGCGTCTATACTCTCATATGGCTCTGATGTCCACTGAGAAAGAGAGGAAGAGAGAGAAGGCAAAGGAACAGACATAGAAGAGGCACATTAGAGCAATGATCTTTTTTTTTCTGTATGGGGAGGGTGCAGCCTTCAGCCTTCAGTGTGTATGAAGAGGCAGGGACTTTGCATGTCTACCTGTTGATTTGTTCCCTACCTGTGTGGCCCTGCTGCTGGACCTGTGTGAGGGCCCCATGGCGATGTTGACGCTGGACGAGGACTGTGTATCAGTGGTGTTGCCCCCTTCAGCGGCGGACAGCCCAGAGATAACCAGGCCACTGGAGAAACTACGCTTCCCAAACAGCAGGCTGAGAGTGGACGAAGACGAGGAGACCTGTGCAAAGGCACCACAAAGGAAAAAAATGCATATAGTATATTAAACAATTATCAGAGAAACTTGTATTCAATAATACACTATAATCACATGCTTAGAATTTTTATGATAATGAGAAAAATTAAAACTATAAAATGGCAATAACAACTCACTTCTTCATCTGCCCATCAAAATGCAGTTTAACTCTGGGGTTTTACAACTAAACATGACACAATTTGTAATCCCCAAGTTGTTTAAAAATGTAGCCACTACATGTCTCAGAGAGGCAGTCTGTTTATAGTTATTCTGAGCACAGATTTGGCTACCTGCAACTGAATGTGTGTATGTACTGTATAGAATTGTAAAACACTTCTACCTGGCTGGAGCGCTGCTGATGCTGCGCTGCCTGGAGCTGCGAGCTGATCCCCCCTGCTCCTGAGAGACGAGGGACCTGAGGAGAGAGAAAGATCCTTTTATTGCTTTATTCTCTTGGTAAAAGCACACTAGAGCAGGTACAACTGAGCAAGGTAGGCTGCTTAATATTATGTGTGTGTGTGTATACCTGGGAGAATATAGAGGCTATGGATGTATTAAAGGACAGTTGACTGTTGGACAGACGCTGGACAAGCCCGTGGGTGGAGCCCGAGTCCAGGATGGGCCCTGACTGGCTGCTGACGGGGGGGCGCTGACTCTGAGGCTGCACTGACCGACTGCGGTACTCTCTCCTGGCTGCAGAAACACACAGAAATACAAACTTCTAATACTTCTAATATAAAAACCCTGCTTTCTACCACATGAAATTAACTGAAAATAATGTTTTTTGATTTTCTACAACCAAACAGATCACATGTGTAAATAATATATAGTTATTGTATTGAGGCTGATGAATAATGTACTTTTTAAATAAAATGACATGAAATCAGATAGTTAGTCCATCTTTCAATACTTTGCAAGGTCTACCTTGTCTGTGGCCTAAAGGCCATTCGTTCCAACTAAAGACACAGATCTTTAAAAACGTCACAAATATATAATTTTGTAGTTTTTCATCTTTTCATGGGATTTGTTGACAATAAGAAAATACAGACCATCACCTGACTTATTAATCAATCAATCAAAAACTTTATTACAGACTCAAGGTCCAAATCTTACTCACAAAAATACATAAATACATATCCACATACGCACATGCATACACACATTTGATTTAATGTTAAAAGTGAAATAAAACGATGATTACTCAAAACTCAGAGTGTGCCTATGTAACTTTTGCTGAACAGTAGCACAAGTAGAGAAGTGTCAGTACACAGACTCAGTAATCAGTCAGTTAAACAGCTCTATCTAAAGGTTGCTAACATTAGCAACCAAAAGCTACTGGCCAAGTAAAGCTGTAGCAGCAAAACCCCTGAGGGTACTGAAGTGAGCAAGGCTCAGTTTTTTATTGCTAACAAATTCAAATTTTCATTTGTAAAAGGAAGAATGCGTCATTTCTACTTTCAAAAGGTAAATAAAAATAGAGAACTATTAAAAAATTAATAAAAACACCCAAAACTATTACATCCCAGCTTATATACATGTATCTGAATTGTGTGTGTGTGTGTGTGTGTATTGGCGTGTACCTGCGCTGTGGTGTCTGTGGCTGTGCGTCGTCCTGGCTCTGTGCTGGTAGAGGCTCAGGCTGTTGGATGTGACGGAGGATGGGCGGTTGTGGCTCAGTGAGGATGAACCACCAGCACCGCAGTCCACATCCTCCATGTTCACACCACTGTTACAGCTGGTCAGGTTGTCCTTACGCACCCTGCAGAACACACAAATACACACACAGCACTGATTTATTTATTCATGTCCGCATCAGTGCAGGGGACACAAAGTGGCAAAGGACCATCAAAAATTTAGCAAGCCTTGACTATTCCAGCTGGTTAAGCACACACACATAAACTTACACTCCGAGAGAGAGATGTTACATAACTGTGCTAGCATATGTGACACCCACTACTGCAGTCTTCCTCTTAAATTAGTTTAATGTGTTCTGGCTGACAAGGCACGGCCAATCTCCTTGGCCCCTTGGCTACTTAGTGAAATGAAGACAACACCTTTAACTCAGATGAAACTGGATTAACAATTAATCTAATCTGAAAGGAAAACTCAGCTCCTTAAGACACTTAGAAACACGTACACATTCACACACACACATCCCATTAGCTGACCTGCAGAGGTTAATGCAGAGCCTATACGATAAGTTATGCGAAAGGTAATGTGTAAAAAGAAAGAAAACAAGAGGATAGAGGGAGAGGCAGATGAAGAGAGGGAACGCTCCCGCTCTGAAATTCGTCTCTCTCTCTCTCTCTCTCTCTGTGCACTACCGGTATATGTATTTAATACTAGATTAAGTTGGCAGGGGGAAGTCTCTCCCCAGCACTGACTTCCACCAAGTCAATATCTGTAAATCCACAGAGAGGCACTCACTCAGCAGGCAGCCGGAGCATTACACTGTGGTTTGCGCTCATCTAGAGTGATTTACGCCGAATACACCCAGCTGAATAAGTGACCATTATTTTACGATCTCATGTGCCACACAACATCTCTGTGTTTTTTAAACCCAAGAACACGCTAAGACAGATGCTGGTACACCCCAAAGACCGCACACCCAAACACAAGAAAAGCAATCTAGTGTATGCGGTCCAATGCAGTGAGGAATGCACAGACCTGTATATTGGGGAGACTAAACAACCACTACACAAACGCATGGCTCAACACAGAAGGGCCAACTCCTCAGGTCAAGACTCTGCAGTCTACTTACATCTGAAGGACAGAGGACACTTGTTTGAGGACCACCAGGTGCACATTTTAGACAGAGAAGATGGATGGTTTGAAAGAGGTGTCAAGGGAGCCATCTACACCAGGGTTGAGAAGCCGTCGCTGAATAGAGGAGGGGGTCTACGCCACCACTTATCCCCCACTTACAATGCTGTCCTTTCATGACTCCCAGGAAACGCAACAAACTTTGGCCTATTGGCCTCAGGTGAAGATGCCAACGATGGTCGTTCAGACTTGGCCTCAGGTAGTCCTAAGGACTGTAACGACTGTCGTTACAACAGCCAGGAACACTAATGAACCAGCCTCCTGGTCCTGGCAAACGACCCCACTGAGATTAACCCTTATGTTGTCTTTGGGGTCCTGGAGACTCTGGGCCCTCTTTTAACAGCTCAAAAAACATATGTAGCATTGTTTTACTGGTTAAATAAACCACTGCGGATGTAATGATTGACATACTGTATGTTGCATTGTATGCTGGAAAATGCTGCACAGTCACAGGGAGAGTTTGAGCCAGAGGTGGCAAGGAGGAAAAAATGGCACTCTTGATTTAGGACGTAATGTATGTTTAGAATATGTGGTGTGTATTTATTGTAAACTGACCGTAACCATTTAGAGCAGAGCCAGGAA